AACCCTATCCAAAATTCGCGGGAGTACCCCCCCTATACGGTGGTGATATGGGTTAAGGGTGCGTAGAGATGGCACGAGAAAGGTTGTCGGAAAAACTGCACGCGACAATCCCGAAAGGTATTGTGGGTGGTTTTTAGTTCACTGTTTTTCAAAGAAATTTCAAACAATAGCATGAGAGGCCATGGACGTATATTTGCGAGTGCTAAAGGAAAGCAATAAAAAAAGGTTCGACAGCTACAGTGTCAGGAACGGTGTATTGATCATATCCCATATTACCTTTTGGGATTGTCGCGTGCACAGTTTTTCCGACAACGTTTTTAGAAATAGCTGTATACAGTTCTAATCTCATGGCCACATCATCTTGTCCCCGGTAGCGCATTTACAGCTCAAACACCCGCCAGTTAAACCCACGCCCGCTCGTTTGGAGCACGTCCTTTGTACTGCTTTTTACGTCATCGGCTATGACGCGAGTCAAACTTTAGAAAGACATCTTCGAGCACAAAATTTGATTGAAAATATTGTCCCGCTGAATACCAGCCTCACTATTTTGAACAAAATGAAAACCGGTCTAGTTATAAATCCCTGCGGGCGTTTTCATTTCAAAGAGGAGGAAATGGCCCTCGACGCACTCAGTACCAAGGAAAAAATGAGAAGTTTGTTCGCGTTGTGCACCTCCTCTCAGCCGGTAAATGACAGGTGGTCTTTGTTGGAAATTAAAGCTATTAAATCTTTGCGTGATTTCCATCGTTGCCGTGATCGTCTAGTGGTTAGGACACTGCGTTGTGGCCGCAGTAACCCAGGTTCAAATCCTGGTCACGGCACTTTTTTTCCTTTTTGTTTTTCTCTTATTTATTTTTCTTTCTTCTTTTGGTAAGGCAATGAAATATTTGTTTCAAGATGAACTATGTGAAATAAAAACAAAAATGACACCACTTAAAAACGCATTGTTGTCTACTATTTTTATTTTTCAACTTTAATTTACAATTTTTTGGGTCAGCAATTACTACCCAAATTCACAATGTAAATACAAAACGCTTCCAAATCTTACATCATAATAATACTATTGATTTCTGTAATAAATATAAACATATTTCCCATTTTCCTTTATGCTTCAAATTTATTTATTGACTACTTAAAGGTTAATAAATAGTAACCGTTCTAAGCTAATTCACCAAAAGCACTTGCCACTCCAGCTTCAGTGGAAAAGACGTGCTACTTAATTTATTTCTGCAAAATTAATGTAAAAATCTCCTAGTACAGACCCCTGTTTTCAATCTTGTTGAGTGATTCCTCATTGTAAAAGAGCCTAGGTCTTTGAAAATACTGTTGACATGCAAATACTTTCTGACTTGGAGTTTAAGTTTGCTCATGCTTAAGTCTTTCTGGAAGAAGAAATGGGGGAGGGGGTGATGAACCCATCAATGTTTTAAGGGAGGAGTGTGTTTTTCTCATTTATTTCCTCCCAAACATTCAGTTAGATTCATAAAAGTCATCTATGAATTGGCTGCATCAGTGCATTATGGAGGACTAGAAATAACGTATTTACTTTGTGGAGCATACTACATGTAAGCCAAGTACAGTGAGGGGACAAAGGGACTAACTCTCTTTGTTTCCTAATATTTTTTAGCCACACATCACACTGGTTTTGCACTTCATGCACCTTAGTCACATACAGGCAGGGTATACAAGGTTTCATACTGCCCTTACTGTATCTTCCTAGTAGTAGGCTAATGGGTATGTGCCACTGGATGAGGTCGCATTTTCACAACTGGATTGACTATTATGGGGTTGCATTTTTATAAGAGTTACTTGAATGGGGTCATACATTTTTTGGATTTTGGGGGTTTTAAAAATAGAAAGATTTACACCACATTAAGTTTAACACAAATGTGGCAGTTCATTTTAGGAAAAGATTTTATAAGGTAGAAGGATAAGCAGAAAGTGACTAAGTTGGGATATGTGAAAATTACTTTTTTCCTAAAGTGACTAAGATGGGGTCTATAATATGGACACAGAATAGACTAAAATGGGGTAGGGGTTTTGAGAGGCCAGCAGCACATACCCAGCAAAAATTAAGCCAAGTAACCCCACCCTGCCCCCCCCCGCCCCCCGGTATTAACTATAGGGACTGAAACAATACACCTGCATCTGCTACCAGCAATCACCCCAACCCCCGAGGCCCTACCTTGGTACATAGAAACTATTTTCAAGGACTCTGAAAGGAACATGCATCCCTCTGTCACATCTCCCCTAGATGTCCTTCCCCATTTACACTGGAACATAAGTGTTAAATCAGCAACAAATTTAAATTTGCTTTGTGGAGGATATAGTATTCTTCTCACTGAACAACCTCAGGTGTTTCTAGAGTTGGTAGGTCTACCTCGCTTCCATAGTCAAAATAGTTCTCCCTTACAGTTGTTCTTATATCATGTTTGTCAGCTTCAGCCTCTGAACTACCACTCTCCTTTCCTGCATCATCATCATCATCATCATCATTGCACAAACCAAGGACATCAAGATCTGATGCAATCTTTTTAGCTTGCCCATCTGTCAAATATTCATTACCAGCCTTTGAAGAAGAACATGACTTAGCTGTAGTTGGTCTAGCAGACGAAGGCCGTGCAGATTTTGGTCTAGCTCTATGTGTATGTCCTACCTGTTGAACACTAGACTGGTCCAGCTCATTTGCAGAACTATCTCTTGATTCTTTTAACTTCTTTATCTCTGCATCAAGTATGTCTTTGACTTTTTCAATTGATGGCTTAAGCTCATTATACTTTTCATCAATTTCACGGCAGATTTGAACTTTATTGGGTTGTTTGCAAGTCTCAGCAGTACTATGATCATGATTGACAGGAGCTGTTGAACCTCCACCTTTTGCATAACTGTGTTTATCTATAAGTTGATTACATGATGTTGCAGCCTTGTCAGTTCCCTGAGTTTCTGGATAGTCACATCCCTGTGGTTCAGGTCTGGGCTTTTTACTCGATATCCATCTGTATTGACTGCTTTTCTTTGTTTTTGAGCCGGCCAATGGCCCAACAGGTTCTGTCAAGCGTGAATCCCTCTTCAAGCCTGTATCAACCTGTTTCCTTGGAGACATTATTTTTTCCACCCGCTTCTTTCCCAGTTCCTTTATAACAGCTTCTAAGTGAGCATCAATCAACTCTCGTTTTTTCTGAATGTCCTTGTCTTTGTCTTCACCTCTTTTGACTTTCAACCATTCATCATAGCTTAGCGACTGCATTTTCTTGGTTGAATCACTTGCTGGCGTGGCTGATGTTTTTTTTGCTGTCTTCTCTGTTGCAGTCTTTGGTCTTTTTGTTGCTGTTTTAGGTCGTGGAGATGACATAGTTTCACTGTGGTTGATAGCAGTCTTTGGTCGATGCTTTGCTTTTCTCACATTATTTACTTGACTTTCACAACTATTGCCAGTTTGATCTGTTTTATCATCAGTCTTCTGAATGTCAAGCTTATCCGTACCATTTTTGCAAGAGGCAATTGGTGTTTTTGACAATACATTTTCTATATCCTTTGTGTTGCTTTCATTTGTGTTGTCCCCAACAGTCTTATCTATCACAGGGGAGGGCTCAGTACACTTAAAGCTCCTAACAACCCTGTACTCAGGGGGTGGCTGTGGGGATGAGCCTCCATTCAGAGTGGCGTCCAAATTTTGTGGCCCAACCCTGGTGCGGTTTTTCCTCCATAACATTCTTGACTCTTTGCGCTTTCTTTTGAACCATTCTCCCACTTTTTCATTACACTCTACTTCTCTTTCAGCTTTTATTCTAGCTTCCTCTTCCAGTGCAGCCTTTTTCGCTCGCCTCTCCTTTCGCTCAACTTTTCTCTGCTTTCGGGCCACAATAACCTTCTTATGAAGCCAAGCCTGCAAAACCGGATTATCAGTCTCTTCTAGCTGATGTTCGGATCTAAAGTTCTTCCTTGTACCATCTGAATTTTTCACTTTACTGTCCACCTTTGCAGATTCGCGGTAATCCTCATCAGATTGCACAGACTGTTTGTTTGAGTCTTTCACAGATTTATTTCTCTTATTTCTCTTTTTCAGAGCTTTCGATTTCTTCCCCTCTGCTTCGTCTTCACTTATCCATTCTGTTTCTTCGGGTAGGGGAAATAGTGGAAAGGCAGAGAGTCTTGTTTGACATCCCTTGTTCTTGCAAACTTTCCTGAACAACACGGGATATTTTCCAACAGGACCACTGCTTTCCTTTCTTGATTTCTCTGATTCTTTTTTATCACTTTTATCATTCTTTGAAGAAGCTTTGTCTGTATCTTTCCCTCCATCATTTTCCATTTCGCTGCTCGATTCTTCAAGAATATGCTTCAGAAACAGAAATTTTTCCTTTTGCCTTGACTTCGGCATCGTGATACTGCGTTGACAAATCTATCGGTCTTTGTGACTCTCTTAGAACCTCCAAAAGGTGAGTGTCAAAACGGATAACCAGCAGTAGGTTTTAGGCTTGTCAAGGACGTTATATTATAAGCCTAGAACTTTACCTGACTTGAACTACTCGACTAAGTCAAAATAAATATGGCGACTACAATGGTACGGTCGCTATAGAAACGAACTGAGTAAATTGGCGGAGGCCTGGATACAAGGTTATTAAAAAAAATGGCGGCAAAGGACTGCACAGCCTTGCTTTCCTTTCAGTATGCTTTAACTTGTTGTATGCTTTGCTTTTATGGAATTTCTGAATGGAAGAATCTTCAAACAAAGCGGAAGAGGCTCTTTATTTAATCGTGGAGGGAGTTCGATACGAAGGTTTGTATGTTTTGGGGTGCTCAATTTCAAAACTACGGGAGCATTGAATTGTTTACACCGCGCGCGCGATCTGTAGAGTGTAATCTTACAGCATACAGTACTCTTTTGTGTTCTGATGTTGATTGATCAACGTTGAAACTACATAGACATTCTTTGCAAAAAGAAATAACTTGTTCTTTTTTTACACTGCCGGAGGTAAAAATTGTCCGGGAAATTTTTATGTTCTCCCGGCCTGCCTTGTTCATTAGACTCCCCTCCCCCGCATTTTGTCCTTAAAAAGCTAAAAAAATCTGTTAATATACTCTACACCCTAGGCGTGGAGGTTCTTTTCTACATTTTAATGTATTAGCTAGAGTACTTAAAATTCTTTTAGTCTCTTTGACTATTAGCGTTCCACGGGCAAAGCGATCAAGTGTGTATGTGTGACGGGGCGGGGGGGGGGGGGGGTTAGTGGGGGGGCCTTTCAAATGGAAAAAGACTTTAACTTTAAAAAACAATTTGTTTTTTGTGCATTTTGAAAATTTTTTTTTTATAACATTTCTCTTTTTGGGTTCTTTTAATAAAAAAGCAACTAGGGGGTTTTTTTGTGAAAGTAAAAAAACGTTTTATATTTTAAAAGAC